CTCACACGTCATACTCACACTGTTACTGCAGTGGAACGGTTTGATTTGATCACTAGGAATCTCAATCAGTATCAGTTGTGGAGATTATATTAAAACTAGAGGCTTGGTGCACGAAATTCACGCACTCAGGAGGGGGCGGTCCCTCAGCCCGGCCTGCGCCCTCTCGCAGTCCGGGAGCCCTCAGGGGATGTCCAACTGCCAGCTTAGGCCCACTCCCCGTGAGCCTGGCTTCTGGCTGAGCGGCGCTCTCCCTGTGGGAGCACACTGACCACCAGGGGCAGCTCCTGTGTTGAGCATCTGCCCCCTGGTGGTCAGTGCGCATCATAGCGACCGGTCATTCTGCTGTTCAGTCAATTTGCATATTAGCCTTTTATTATATAGGATTAAAAAGAGCAAGCAATCTAATCTTTTAAGGGCATATCTTCACTTCTGAAGATAGAGTAAAGAGAACCAATTTTTAGAGTTTACCAAAGCAATACCCATGATTCTTTCACCTACAAACCTACACACAACTGATAGTGTTCAGGTATAACTTCTGAATCCGTAGTAGGTACATTAATATTAAGTCTAATCATGATGTAGACAAATATGCTTTTCACTTAATATTTTATGTGCTTTTATATATGTCAACAAAGTCCTTATATAACTCTATACAGGCAGAACTCCTTTTTTTTTTTAAACCCTAAGATCACCTTCTTGGATTCTTTTTATTTTTTTATTTAATACATTTATTTATTGATTTCAGAGAGGAAGGGAGAAGGAGAGAGAGAGGGAGATAGAAACATCAATGATGAGAGAGAATCATTGATCGACTGCCTTCTGCACTCCCCCTACTGGGGATCAAGCCCGCAACCCAAGGCATGTGCCCTTGGCCGGAATCGAACCTGGGACTCTTCAGTCCGCAGGCTGACGCTCTATCCACTGAGCCAAGCCAGCTAAAGCCAGGCAGAACTCTTTTTATTGTTCCTCACTTTATTGCACTTTACAGATTTGCATTTATTATAAATTGAAAGTAGGACCCTCCACCAACAAAAAATTAAGACTTGCTTTATTGTGATACTCTCTTTCTTATGGTGGTCTGGATGCTTAGAGGTCTGCCTATAATACTGATTTTAGTTGCTATCCATAATTACTTAGGATGTTTCTAGTTTATTTCATTTTCTCATTCCTTCTCTCACTTGCTGGCTCTCAAATTGCTACTTTAATAACATCTTTGAAACAGATTTTGTTCTTTTTAAATTATATTGGGTTATTTTTTAAGATTAGAATTGGTCTTTTTGAAAATTTATTTTTATTGATTTCAGAGAGGAAGGGAGAGGGAGAGAGAGATAGAAACATCAATGATGAGAGAGAATCATTGATCGGCTGCCTCCTGCACACCCAACACTGGGGATGGAGCCCACAACCCGGGCATGTGCCCTGACCGGGAATCAAACTGTGACCTCCTGGTTCATAGGTCAGTGCTCAACCACTGAGCCACCTGGGCTGGGCGAGATTATAATTGGTTTTAAGACTTTTGTTATATATAGCTAAATTACTTTCTGAAAAAATTGAACCAATTTTTATTATGCAATAAACAATGTGTAAGTGTACCCCTGAAGAATCATTAGCACTGGTTTTCATTTTTCTTTTATTTTGCAAAGAAGTATAACATAAGTTAGTGCTTTGTGCCAACTATTTAGCCTGTTTTGCCTTAATTTTCTTATTTACATAATGAGCATTACAGTAATACCTACTCTGTTGAGTTGGATTAAATGATTTAATACATTTAAAACATTTAGAACACTTTCTGGCATGGATTTTACCATTTGTCCACATAGAGATTTTTTTATAGACCATACTTTCTATATATTAAAGTTTTAAATTACATACTTAATTTTAAATTGCCCTATTTTTAAGATTTAATTTATGTTGCAGGAAAGTCCAACATTTTTATATTTTTTTGCTTTTTTTATTTGCTTTGCTTTTTCCAGAGTTTATACAGGCATCCACCAAAAAACAAGGTGTGGAACATTGTGTATACAAGATTCCCAATTGTAATTTTTAGGTCTTCTAGAAACATGAAGGTTATGTATAGAATATTATAGAAACAGTAGGGATTCAGTGCACGAATTCGTGCACCCTGAAAGAAACTGTGAGCCATGAGGCTGCGATGGGCACAGGAGCGGGTCTCGGCCCATCCTCCCACCACACCCCCCATCCCCTGTCTGCTGGCAGCCCCGCTCCTGCCACCACCACTCCCATGTGCTGACAGTGCCAGCCCGGCTGGCATCCGCTGACAGGGCGGAGCAATTAGGGCCAGCACCAGCAGCGGGTGAGAGCAGGGCTGGCACCAGCAGCGGGTGAGAGCAGGGCTGGCACCATCAGCAGGTGCATGCGGCCCCAGTCACCCCTCAGGAGCAGGGGGAAGTGGAGAAACCTTCAGGGGTGATCCGGGCCAGCGCTGGGTGCTGGCAGTGGGTTCTAGTGAGGCCAGCACCGGCAGCAGGTGCGAGCACCGGTGGAATTGCGGCGCGCGGGAGCAAAGAATTTTCAGTAACCACCAGAGGCTCGTCCCAGTGACAGCGACCGGCGCCCCACCTTGGTCTGGCGCCCCCACTCACCTGCTCCACCATCCCGCCGTGGCCGATGCCCGCCATGTTCAGCACTCTGCCGCCTGCTGCCGACGCCTGCCATGTTCTGTGCACGCCCCCTGGTGGTCAGCACACGTCGTAGCGACCGGTTGTTCGGTTGTTCCACCGTTCGGTCTATTTCATATTAGGGTGTTTTATATATAGATACATTTTAAGTCTGTAAGAGTAAGTTGCCACTGAGAAGGGTCCTGGGTTCTGGGATAAAGGAGAGATGCTTTAGATACACCTCTGGTACCTACAGATTACTTTTCCATTTTAAAAAGCGGTTGACTAAGCACATAAAGTAGAAGGGTCTGTCCTCTAAGGTGTGTTTGCCACACATCTTCTTACGTTAGTGAGATCTAGGAGCATTAGGAGATTAAATTAAAACAGAGAAATTAAAACATAGACCCTACTTTAAAGGTGCATTTATGTTTGTGTAGCCAGTTATTTGCATCCATAATTTGAATTGGCTGTTAAAACACATGCATAATAGGATGGAAACATTTAAAATAGATACCGTGCTAGACGAGTCCAGAAGAAAGCTGGTGTCAAGCTGTTCGAGCCGCCGAGGCGCACGCGTTGCTGAGCTGCCTGCCGGGTGGTCTTGGCTCCCGGTCAGGACCCCTCTGCACTTCTTGTAGGGGCACCAGGCACAGTGAGTGTGGGGCCCACTCCCGGACGGAGCTCAGATCCTGGCACTCGAGTGAAAACACAGTTGGTTCCCAGTGCCCTGCTGACTGTGAGGAGAAAGCTCACTTTTTCTTTAGAGAAACAAAGAGTCCCTTGTTTTGGAGCCGACAGAATGTCTCGGTTGGGTTTTATGTAGAGTAACTTAGTGTACGGTGGACAGAATATACTGGACAATGATGGTACCAAGAAAAGACATTTGATAACAGTAGTGTCATGTAAGAACGCTGATAATAACAACAATTGTCAGCTCTCTCACAGGAAGCGGAGGGGTGATCTAAAGCACAGCTAACCAAAACCAGCTTTCCGGGCGCCCCCCGGTGTGAGGCCCACAGTTCCCTGCTGTCACAAAGGCTCAATCTTGTTACGTTACCCAACTGTGCATAAACCAATGGGAGAACAGCAGTAAGGCCATGTAGAAGTAAACAGGATATCGTTCTATAGACTGTACATTTTTAAAAATTTAATTATGGATTTGAAGTCAGTTCAGAAAGTGAGGGAAGAGAATCGGGAAGATATAGAGAATAAAGAAGGTGTTACTAGATAAGTAATAGTATGGCCTTTGTATGGCCTATACCAGTGATGGCGAACCTATGACACTCGTGTCAGAGGTGACACGCGAACTCATTTTTTTGGTTGATTTTTCTTTGTTGAATGGCATTTAAATATATAAAATAAATATAAAAAATATAAGTCTTTGTTTTACTATGGTTGCAAATATCAAAAAATTTCTATATGTGACACGGCACCAGAGTTAAGTTAGGGTTTTTCAAAATGCTGACACGCCAAGCTCAAAAGGTTCGCCAACACTGGCCTATACAGAAGGTAATTACTGAAACATTTTATTTTTCAGAAATACACTCAGAGCAATGGACGAAGACCTTTTGGCATTTCTGCCCTAATTGTAGGCTTCGACGATGATGGTATCCCAAGACTGTACCAGACCGATCCCTCTGGTACTTACCATGCTTGGAAGGTGAGTCATGAATTTTTAATATATTAAAAGAAGTTGAATAGATGTATTCACCATAAATGCTTTATCACTTTACCGGGCATGATGAAAATTATGTTAAATGAAAATATTGATGGTGGTAGGAACTTTATGTCACCATTTAGCCAGTTGGCAATTATGATGGTTTCTGGTGGATAGAGAAACACTTTGGCTTATTAATCACAGGGTTTTTCCTTTACGTTTGGAAAGATGTGACAACCCTAAGTGCATACGAATGGCCAGGTGAGAAATACCCAGTCCCTGCTCATCGCCACCCTTCCACTGACTGCCACGTCACGTGGCTGCTGCTCCGAGGAGAGGCACGTGTCTTCCTGCTTTTAGTAAAGATGAGAGAGCCTGTCAGCTCCACACTGAACCCTTCAGCGCACCCTCTGTTCTAGGAGTCGGAGCGCCCAAACCATGACTTTATCCCCATGTGTCGGCACATCGCAGTGACGGCCTCACCATCCCTGGGATGCAGCTTTTATTTGTCGGCTGGTTTTTGAGCCGCTGTTCGTGTTTCAGCACCCAGCCACCTGCTGTGTCTAATGGCGCACTTCAGTCTCATGGTGCCCAGATCGAGGGCCATAGTCACCAGTGGCGGTGTTCCGAGATGAATTTTTGTACATTCTGATACATAAGAATAAGACCATACCCCGGAATCTAGGATAAGTGATTTTTGACTATTAAACGTTTAAATACTGCCCAGCCGGCGTGGCACAGGGGTTGAGCGTCGACCTACGAACCAGGAGCTCATGGTTCGATTCCCGGTCAGGGAACACGCCCAGGTTGCGGGCTCCATCCCCAGTGTGGGGAATGCAGGAGGCAACCAACCAATGACTCTCATCATTGGTGTTTCTATCTGTCTCTCCTCTCCTTTCCTCTCTGAAATCAATAAAAAATATATTCTTAAAAGGTTTAAATACTTAGGTTTTAAAATAATGTGATGAAGAGTTTATGTTACTATATTAACATCCAGATAAATTAATCGGGAAATCTTGCCTTGATTTTTAAGCCTGTATTAACTAACGTATTTTATTTGAGCTGACCATACTCATACTACTTTACAAACCAGTTAACCAATCCAGTAAAACAGTGGCTGGTATTCTTACCACAGAGATCTGGATGCTGTGTTAGCGGCACACCCTTTAAGCCACCTGCACATCTCATGGCTGTCAGAGGCTGTGAGTGTACCTGCTGCAAATACCAGGCTTGTTCCTGCCACTTAGAAACCTTGTACATGTGCCTCCAGATCTCTGCCCCAAACAAAACGAATGGTTACCCTGAATCTCTATCTTCTGTTTGCATTGATCATTACATCATCACTCTTCATTTCAGTTTCATAACAATTTCCACATTTATGTAATTTTCCATTTTATTGTGGTTGCTCCCTGAGGTCACACATAGAAGCATTTTTTATTTCAAAGTCCATGGACATGGGCAATAGGGTAGTGAAAACCTGGAGGTGGGGGTAGGAATTGGGAGGAGGGGGACAGGGGGAGGGAATGGGAAATATCTGTAATGCTATCAACAATAAAAACAAAAAAATAAAAGATCTGAAAAAAATGTTCATTGAAAAAAAAAAAAAAAAAAAAAAAAAAAAAAGCCAGGAGACTTTCCTAGCTCAAAGGAGACTAAACAGACAAACGCCCAAGGTCTTTGATTAGATCCTCGATGGGGAACAGTCACAACCAGAGATATTAAATGTACTCGGCAATGGTATGTGTCAGCCTCAAGCTTTGGGGAGTGGACTTACAGTGTTATATTTTAAAAATCTCTGTTTTAAGGGAATTGACAGAAGTATTTAGGGGCAAAATGTTATGACATCTTCAACATTAAAAAAGCATGCAATGTGTGTGTAAGTAAATGGAGAGATAAGACAAATATCTCAAAATGTTAATAACATGAATCTAGGTTAAAAGGTGCATAGTAGTTCATTGTTCTCTCAGCTTTTCATAGGATTGAAATGGTCAAGTTAGAAAATTGAGGAAAGAGAATAGTAAGAAGGAGGAAGTGACGATGGCTCCTTTAAGAATTTGAGCTGTAGCCGAAACCGGTTTGGCTCAGTGGATAGAGCTTCGGCCTGCGGACTGAAGGGTCCCAGGTTCGATTCCGGTCGAGGGCATGTACCTTGGTTGCAGGCACATCCCCAGTGGGGGGTGTGCAGGAGGCAGCTGATCAATGTTTCTCTCTCATCGATGTTTCTAACTCTCTATCTCTCTCCCTTCCTCTCTGTAAAAAATCAATAAAATATATTAAAAAAAAAAAAAGAATTTGAGCTGTAAAGGGGAGCAGGGAGATGGGACAGCAGCTACCGGAGAATGTGGGTTCAGGGAAGGTGTTTCTCCAGACTTGACACTAGACAGGATCCGTTCAGTCAGCAGCAGCGTTCAGCTCGGAACATGCTGGACACTGAGCATAGCCGGCAGCCTGCTCTCAGAACGGACGTGCCGGAGGCGCAGGGAGACGAGTAAATGGACAGCATGTTGGCCGGTGGTGGTACCACGTGCCACCCGGGTGGGGGTCCCCGGGAGTGGGTCCCCGGGTGGGGGTCCCCAGGTGTGAGTCCCCGGGTGTGGGTCCCCCCTGTGTGTGGGTCCCTGGGTGGGGGTCCCCGGGTGTGAGTCCCCGGGTGGGGGTCCCTCCCTGAGTGGGGGTCCCCGGGAGTGGGTCCCCGGGTGGGGGTCCCCGGGT